GACTGTACTAGGACAGCATTATGGATTTTCATTCTGTCAATCTGATTAAAATTAAAGTTTGATCTGCTGGCATACTTGCTACACTAACATCTAATAACTTGTCACATCAGAGGTCATATTCTATCGACCAATCAAATCGTCGACTGCAAATAACTTCTGTTTGTTTTCGACATGAACAAATACCAAGCAGAATCTTGACAAATAGTACAAATCAGCTGAATCAATCAAATGTGAAAGCTAGTAAGTGTATAAAGTAAAGTTTTTTTAAGTTTCTGCAATGCTGAAACCATTAAATACTGCTTGTATATCAAATGGTTACGCACGCTGAAACTATTCAAATACTTAAGCTTCATCAAGTTTCTGCAATGCAAAAACCATTGTATACTGCTTGTTTATAAAATGTTTACGCACGCTGAAACTATTCATACACTTAAAATGCTTAAATTTCATCAAGTTTCTCCAATGCAGAACCATAGTAAACTGCTTTTATATCAAATGTTTACGCATACTGAAACCTTACATATACTTCAAGTTTCACCAGGTTTCAGTTGCGCACACCATTTGGATTTGTGAACAGCTTAGTTTCAGCACTAAGGCTTTGCGGAAACTATAAGTAAGCTGAAGTTTTTGCATAGTTTTCATCTTTCGGAAACTGTTTTTTTTTTCATACAGTGATTTAGAGTTCCAAAAGTGTGTTACGTAAATAAAGTCTGTGCCATAGTTTTATTAACATAGGTTAAATAAACTAGTATATGTTCGTTCAAAGTATATTTTTTTAAATAAAGAATTCATTTTTGAATACATGTATGATAAGACAGTTACCAGTGATTGCTGAATCTCATCAGTTTGTTATAAATATGATATTTGCTATATGTAAACAAAAGCTATGCACGGGTTTTCTTTATATTATGAGGAATTTTAAGTTCTGCATCTATTCTCTACATCCAAAAAAATATTCAATGTTTTGCTGATCATTAGAATTGCCTTAATTAGGAAAGGTAAACATTAGAATTGTTTTTTATAAAAATCAGTTCAAGTTTTATATACTGTAGATCACTAAATTTTCGCGACACCTTATTTTCGCGAGATAGTCATTGACTCTTGATTAGCGAGACAAAATTTTCACGAATTGTAGTTATTGCTCTACATAATCTTTAGAAATACTTTTATACGCGAGAATTAAATTTTGGCGAGCACACTGCCTCGCGTAATTTCGCGAAAATAAAGTTCTCGCAAATAAAAAGTGATTTACAGTATATCCCTTTAAAAGATGTGAAGGAGAAACTTCAAAAGTCCTGTGCAACAATATATTCGAGAAGTGGTGTAAATCGTCAGATGGATACTTAAAAGTTCGGAATTTTTTGAAAATTTGAAATCTCAAGATTTTACAAAAATTAACAGCTTAAAAACTTACAACTTTTTAATTTAATACACAATGATTCCCCAAAATAAATTAAGGTCCACTTTTTATTATATCATGGACAGCTGCTTTTTCATTCAATGGAACTCGTAAATCTTTATTTACCTAGTCATTTGTATTTTACAAAATTATTCTGTCAAAAACATTCTTATTGTGCACACAAGTTAACTTCTGTGAAGTTGACATTTAAAGAATGCAGGAGTTTCTTATTTACAATATCTTTGTGGTTTTTGGAGATATGGTCTTCCAACAATCAATTGGAATTTCCATGGGTACCCATTGCACCCAGTTATTACCAAAACTATTTTTGTATTCATGCGAAGCATAATTCGTCCAAAGTCTTATTCGTGAAAAGAGGAAAACATGGTCAACTTGCTGTGATCATGGCCTTTGTCTATACATTTAGATATATCGAAACAAGACTGCTGAATTTCTTGTTTCATCAACCTGTTTGTCAATAACTCGCATCGTTTTAGAAATTAATAATTCGCAGAGCATGCTTTCGCGTATCAAACCACCCCAGAGATCAAAACTGTGTGCAGGTGATAAAGGTATGTTTCTGCATAAGTAAAGGAAGTAGACGATTGAAAACTTAAACGTCTCACGTTTATCAAAATTTTCGTAATTAGATTTTCATTAAGGTCTTCTTCAAATAAAATTTCCAAATATGAAGTGGAAGTGCTAGTTTCGGTGGTATCTTTTATTTCAAGCTCACAGGGATATGTTGAAATTGTAATAACGTAACTATAAAAATTTAAACAAATTAGTATACTTATTCACGAAGAATATTTTTTTAACAAATAAAAATAGAAAGGGAGCTATGGCACCCCTACTAATGGCTTCGGTACCTTTTATTTTTCGGTGCTCTGCAAATTATAAAACCCGATGAGTTCAGAGTAGCCCTGGCGAGAGTAGCGAGACTACAGCGAAATAGGATAAATTATTCACGGAAATATGGCTAGAAAGTAACTAGCACGTGGAGACACGGTAAACAGAAAAGTTGTTACGTTTCAGTTTTCATCACCCTATAATATTTGTAGAAATGTACTTCAATCGATTTTTCTTGAATTCATTCAAACTTAATAAGTATTCTCTATGAAACAATTTTCTGCAGTCATGAATTAAAATTTCTTTTTGGATAATTATTTTGCATGGGAACTGGGACTATATTTTTTGGCGTCAGATTAGCAAATGAGGCACTAACATGACAACTGACAAATCAGATGAATGAAAATTGCATTATGGGTTACTACGATTACTACAGAAATTTTACGCTTGAAAAAAAAGGAAACAAAGACCATTTTCCCATCCACTTCGTAACTGAAAAGCATGTTTATAATTCTATTATTTCCATGGTCATATTGACAAACAATTCACTGTTAAATGAGCGATGGAAGTCTACGTTTCTCAAAGTCATACTGCAAAGCGATTGCGTCTGTATTAATTCCTTTGTTGTACTATCGGTGAATACAATTGTCACGTAGATATCCTGGCCAAACACGTGATTGCGAGAATAGTTATGTAAAAATGTTTTGTCCATTTAAATGCGTAGGAGATGCTGCTCGCTTTCCTTAATCCTTGAAGCGCTGATGTTCTCAACTTGACATAAGCTATATTTGAAGAAAAATATTTTTTACTTAACAACAAATGAAAAACACCAGTGAAATCTTTCATAAATTCTTATCTTTGTATTTTGTTCAGTTCATAAGATTCTTTTTTATTTTGCACTCCATTGACATGATCATAGATTAACCTGAACTACGTGTTCGAAGTAAAATGTAAACATGTATTTGGCGTAAACGTTGCTATTCATTCAACGATTGGTCAATTGCTGTGATAAGATCGTCTATTTGCATTCATAACGATAGCCACATAAGGCAAACAAAGGTTTGTCAGTGTAGATGATATTACACATTTTTTATAAGCGTATCGGTCGCTAGTGAGCTCTAATTTTCGCCGTGTATTATGGTGATATGTTGTTTTTTTTTACGCCCTCCCCCTTTGGCCACCCTTATCTATTGAAAATCATGAAAGTCTCTCAGAAACGTCTGGAAACACATTTTTCACAGGACATGTTTTCAACAGAAACAGACTCTGGTAATTTCCTGTTTACTGCCAATTCTATTTATAAAAGCGGTTCTATCCTATAACTTTTGAATATGTCAACCTAAACCACATGTCTTGAATTTAAATCACAATAACATTAGTATGGTTGTATGGGTATAAGTTGGATTACCACTTGTAGAACTAATTGCAGTTCCTCTAAAGTACAACGTAGATAATGAGTCTTTCAAACTACAACAGTGTTGTTACCTGCTTTGTCAGCATGGACCAGTTCATACTGATCGTACAGCGTAATTTTTTTTTCACTTCTGAATTATTGAACACAGAAGAATAGTTGCTTTTCATTTTGCGAGATTTAAGCGGTCATACATCGGATACATTTAATTCATTGTGACAATTCGACAATTCGAGGTTTTTATTCATGTTTGGTCCATCGCCTGGCGCAATCTTCCAAAGAATCCATAATATTTTCAAAATTATGACAAGATTCCGAAATTTTGGCCCTTACTATCAATACGTTATAAGTAATTAACCTGTCCAGTAGAACAATAAACATATGGTGAAGAAGAACAGGAATACGGAGTAGAATTATGTTTCAGATTTTCGATTTCTTACAGTGTATATATTACATAATGACATTTTTTGACATATATATAAACATATGAATTCAAGATTGAGTGGTGTAACTAGGTTTGCGGTACTATACATAATTACAAAATAAACCGAATCCTTTAAGTTTACATTATCTTACTAATTATGGAAGCTTTAATTTATTTGATTCAATGAGAGAAGCAAGCTATAAAATATCGAATGAAATTTGAAAGGGGTCCCACGGCAATGTTTTGACTCTGAGGACTCCTGGTATTGGAAGGATGCCTCGATTTTGTCTTACTTATATATCGCTGGAATATAATCCTTTATCTTTTTATTAACAATATCCTTTGAAAACTGATGCATGTTCCGTTAGGTCTTAAAGCTTGTTACCATGCTTTGTATGTTTTGCGCCGCTGGGAATTGCAAAGTAGTTACTGTAATAATTGGTCTCTTTTCTATATCCGTCCTTAACCTATCCTTTCTACATTTTCTACTTGAACACTTATTATATCCCATTTTGAGATGTTTATTTTACTTAAACCCTAAGCACTTCCCATCTTAATTAATATGTTTTTAAATGACACTCGTTATCAGATAGACTCACTTGTACATTTATGACTAGAGCACAATAATTAAAACGGTGTCATAAATCTAAGCATGATAAGGATATTCGTACTTGACACTTGCCAAACTAATGATGTCATATTTTGATACACCTTCAAGGGGAATAACTAGTTATATCAATATATATTTGAGTATGTTATTATTAACATTTAATCTGCGGACGGTAAGGCACATAAACATATTGAAAATCAGTAGCTAAAAAATGGCACATTTACTTAGATGTTTCCTGTTTTGCCTGTTAAGCGAGTGTTTTATTGCTTTTTCATTGCTGAACAACCACAATTTTAGTGCTGGAAATATGTCTGGAGAACTAGTGACCAATGATGCGTTGGAAAATTCTAACAGTTTCCGTCAGCTTCTTAACCAAGAAGCTCTTATTCGAGTGGCTCTGGTACAAAACGTTTATTCCTTAATGAAAGATATTATGACATTAAAGAATTTAATGCTCATGTTAGAAACAAATTTGGAAAAATTTAAACTTGTGACTGAAAAGACAATTTTCCATTTAGAAGCAGAAATAGAAAAACTTAAAACGGAAAATCAGCGTTTAAAGAACGATAATGTAGATAAACATAGAAAATTAATTCCCTGTGATAATGAAACATTTCAAACAGTTAAAGACTCAATTTCACAAATGCAAAAAAGTTTTGATACAAGGTTACAGATGATTGAAGAAAGGAAAGCGAATGTATCATCTACTGCAGCTTTGGAGACGTCTTTGACAAAAGTTTCAACTGAAATTGAAAGTAAGTAAATAGAACTAATGTGCTTTATGGATACTATTACTATTTCCGGTCATTTTGAATAAACCATAATAAAAAAAGAATTTCATAGCATTTTTTTAAATTACAATAATCATCTTAATATGATGTCAAATTTTTATCTTTTCGATAGATCAACACAATTCTCTGAAAGTTTGCTAGTCTGAATGTATCATTTTTCAACGATATAGTATTTATAAATTATATATGCGTTTGTTTTCATCTATCTTCCCATGGAATACCAAGTGAAATCATCGTCAATTATGCGTGAACTATCGTGAAATCGATCTAACTGTGGTTGTATTAAAAAAAAATATGGAGAAATAAGACATTATATAAAATGATATGCCTGTACTTCTTTATTGATAACACATTTAATTAGTGATTCGATATTTTAAAAATCGCATCAAATATTGATATCAGTCACTACATGTATATTGAATATTGATTTAGTATGTTTTAATTTTTTTTCGTTCATATTCATAACATGTGAATAAAGAACTTTATTATACTTCTGTTAAAATGTTTCCTATATAAAGTTCAGAAGGTAAAATAGCTATATTTTATAGTTCATGCATAGCAAAGCTATACCCCGGGGTATAGTTTTTGCTATCCACCCTCGGAAAATTTCCATGCATTTTTTGCCTCCAATTTTGATTTCCAGCGATAAATCTATTGACTGATGATGTCATAATGACTTAGTAGTATTGTGACGTCATCAGGATTTCAGGTTATTCTTACAGTATATTATCTTACTCCAAAAAAATTATAATATACATCAGTATAATAAAACGCTTATCCACTGTTTGTGAGTGGGATAGCTCTTTTATCAAACCCTTGACAGGGACTATTCCCCTCGGGCAAGCCCTTGGGGAATAGTTCCCTGTCGCGGGTTTGATAAAAGAGCAATCCTACTCACAACCAGTGGATAAGTGTATAATATTTGGAATATTGATACCCCCCCCCCCTAAATGTCAAATATTGAATACTTCTTGAAACGTGCTGCATTGTATAAAGTGTACCAGAAATCTAAATTAGCAAAAAATATAGTTACAAAGCTGAAAATGTCCTCAGAAACTTTGCTGTAAGAAAAATTCAGGCAATTCTAAAACTTTTTTAAAAAATGTATTCAGATGTAAAGTAGCATTTTTGCACTTTTCACCAACTTTTGTGGCTTTGCCAAACAACATGCTGTTAAACTAAACAAAAATTAGGCCACTTTTAAAGTGAGAGATACACACATTTCATCATAAATATCTGAATTTTAGGAGAAAAAATTGTTTGTTTTATTTATCCTTAACAAGAAAAAAAAATCTCCAGCATAGGATATATAAGAAGTTCTGTTGCTTACAATCATAACAAGTTTTCCGGTATTCATTAATTATTTCTAAAATAATCTAACACAAAACCCTATTTATAAAGTAAATGCTCCTACAAATTCTTTGTCAACATTTCACATTAGACCATTAAACATCGGAAAGGTTTACATCATTATGTCAGAAATCACTGGCATCGTTAACATTTTGGGTAAAATGATGTTACATTTACATTTGTCTTCTTTGTTTGATTATTTGACATTTTGAACCTTTTCTGATCTAAATTTTTCCGTTGTCTGTCGTTGTTGGAAGCATTGTCGTCATCGTAAACCTTTCAAATTTTCTTCTCAATTGCATTAAGTACTGAGCCGATTTCACCCAAACTTGTCCCATTGGCCTCTCGTTTATAATTTTTTTTTTTTAAAAACGACTTTTTGGAATAATGGAGCTAGCAGTAAAAAGTACAGATTATCTATTTTCTTTTCACTGAACACGCTTTCATATTTAATAAAAATATGATGAAGAGCAAACATCAGAGGTGGGATCAAATGCCATGGAGGAGTGAGCCTCCTCTGCCCCTCGGAGTATAAAAGAAAACCTGTCGTTCAGTGTGTAAATACTGGACTAACAATTAGCATGAAAAACAACAGTCAGCATTTGACTGAATGATAAATTGTATTTGCTGACAAGGTCATTGTAACGACCAGAACTTACAAAATGATGACTCTAAGCGAGGCCTCTGATATTCTCCTTTCATCAACTTTTTTGACAATATCTACTTTGTTATAGAAATTGTTCATACATAGAGCATGTTCTTCCGTATCGAATCATCTGAGAGAGATATATAAACTCCGTATACAGGTGACAAATGTATATTACTAAATAAGTTTGGGAAGCTGACGATCGAAAAGTTAAAGTCACCATGTTTGTCGTAAAAAGCTTTGTTGTTTGATAACCATTAAAATATTTTTGTAGTAAAATATCCATATATGAATATATGTTTAAGACTCTATGCCAATCTTTAATTTTCTTGTTTTTCCTCAAGACAGTATCATTAACCCAATCTAAGTTACTGATTTTGCTTGGTTATACTGTGTTACCATGGCATCCATACATGTACAGTTATTTATAGAGTAATATTGCTTATACATCTGTTCAAACATTTTCAGTGGTTTTCCTTAGTTGATAATCGAGATTGATGATGCGTTACCTATCAAAAGTAAAAAATAAGCGCTATTCAGCATAGCTCAGCATTTTAAATGTATTTCAAATGTACCCTTGGTTACACTTACTTAAAGGGGCATGGACACAAGGTTCGTGTCTTGTTTTTGTTTACATACAGAAAATATCATATTTATAACATGAAATCAATAGTAACTGTGAAATCGTATTTAAAAGTTTTTTATTGAAATTATCTACTTTGAACGAACATATAGTAGTATATAACCTATGTAAACAAAAACATGACACGGTCCTTGTTTACATAACAAAGGTTGGGAGCTCTAAATATGTCTTGTATCTCGAGAAATGATGTTCAATTTTTTTATTATCATTTGAAAGACCCTAGTTAAATATTTGTACGAATGGAAAAAAATGAAATTTTAGCTGAAACTGTGTCCATGCCCTTTTAAAGATATATTTTTAAACACCTTCTTTACAGCATAAGTGGCAACAAGGTGCCATGTTTTAGTGTTTTGTTTGCTTTTCATATTTTTATAAAGGCTAAATAAGGATTAGAAGAAGTTGAAAATTCAAATAATCAAACTTTTAAGGCTCTTACCATGGCAACAATGTCACACAGCAAGTTTCATAAAAATCGGCTATCATCCGTGTCAAAGAAGTTTAAGCGGTTACAAAGAATGGCTATTAATTATTCTGATGAGAAATGTTCAACTGTTATATTTAAACAAGAGATAATTATATTTTTAAAATAACACTGACATCAAATCACATCCGTGAAATATTTACGTAATATTTACGTAATAATGCTATAGTCCTTGTGTTCCTTGTGAGCGGACCTCAAAATTACTTCGAATTAACAGTTTTATTAAACCAATTTCATTTTACCAAGTATTGTTTTCAAAGAAACTGTACCATTTTTAGGGGAATGCAGATTCATTTTAAAGTAACTGATTTCTTTCAAATAAAGAGAGTTCATTGTAAGTGAGTTCGAGTGTATTTACAATACAAATTATGATACCTGATAGTGTACACCATACCTTATCTTTCAAATTCATTCTTACTGCATATTAATTCCTCAAACTCCAATTTACCGTATATACTCGCCTATAAGTCGGTCCGCCTATAAGTCGGTTGTATTTAATAAGCTTTCATTTCAGATGGACTGATCTCATATAAAACCTTACTTTTGATAGCTCGCCTATAAGTCGGAAAATGAGTTTTAGACCAGAAATTAACTCCCAAAAAAAACCGACTTATAGGCGAGTATATACGGTACTAATTTATTTATCTGCTAAAACACAACAGAAAATGAAACCACTAACTAGACACCAACGGAAAAGATAATGAGATAATGAAATTATGATAATGAAAAGATAATAGCAATTTATTAGGCCTATAGTATCCTTGCGAAAAACCCGCGCTTTTGAAAATAGTTCGCGTATATGTGCATTTAGTAGCATAAGTGCACAAAATGCTCTATTGCAATTAAACCCTAATAAGATAAATATCTTATTCTTCTTTTCATTTAGTTCTCAAACTAAAATATTGATTAACTTTTCCAAAGACTGAGATGTTAAAAATATGTGTTTAAGTATCGTTTCTTATTTTGACCATTTTGTTTATCGATCTGCCTGGACACTTTTTGGTTTTCTGTTTACTTTTTTTCTGTGGAGCTGTTTATAGTTACTGTAAGAAAGGCGTTCATGACGCCTATAGCCAGGACTTTGCTTTCAGCAAAGCCCGGCAAAAAATCCAACTTGCAACTAAAAGACAATTTTTCATTAAAATATAGAATTAGAACAGCTGAAATTGGAAAACTAAGGTCTAAATGTATAGAAAGAATGATAATGCAGATATGTGTAGAAAATCAATGTGAACTGAACAATTCAAAAAGTCAGACTCAATTTTACAAATGCAAAAAGTTCTTGACACAGGGATTTTACAATTTTTTACAGGGTTACAGACAATTGAGGCAATGAAAGCAAACGTGTCATCTATTGCAGTTTTAGAGACGTCTTTGACAAAAGTTTCCTCTCAGTTGGGTAGTAAGTAAATAAAACTGATACCGGTATGTTTTATGTACGAGGGTTGTTAGAAAAGTTCGCTGACAATTGGATTAAAACTTTACCCTCTTCCCAATAAATATACAAAGATTTGGTGTTTTCCTGGTGATCCTTCAAAAATGTACAGCTATATTATTTTGATAAAACACGTTTCACGGAGCATACTTCTTTTCTGAACATAGAATAGACGTATTAATGAAATTAAAAATTGCACAGTTGTAGGGCAAAATGAAATTTGATTTTTTTTTACCTGCCGCTTTAGTGTTCGTAAAATCTCACTTTGGGAAATTTTGAATCAGATTGAAGTGTATATGAATATTTTATAGTTATTTATATATAATCAACACGTAAAAACAAAGCCAAGAATGGGAACGTCATTGAACGTCATGGAGCACCCAGCTACTACAATTTATGTGTGCAGGCAGGAAAATT